TGAAAGACATTTGACGTATCAAAATAGCCAGTCTTCACAACTTGCGGAGTTTGAGCTTGAGTTGCATCGAATCCTTGGCGCACTTGTGCACCACAGAAGCCTTGTTGGCTGAGTTGCATTCCACTGAACGCAATCTCACCGTCAGCATTCATAGAGTAAGGGACAGTAACAGTGCCGCCACCTTGAGTTGGTATCTGCATGAGCTGCATTCCCGAAGGAACTTGCATCATTTGATTACCTGTAGTACCAGCAAGTCGCAAAGGTGTGTTAATGCTTCCGGCAACACTTGATGTTAGAAATAAGTTCCAGGAACTGTAGCTGGGACAGTTGCTCCAATCTGATTAAGATTGAGTTTCTTCCCATATTCAACATAGTGTTTTGGATGCTTCCATTGAATCTCTTGTAGCAGTCTGTCTGAGCATTTTGGAGACATATGGTCCTCGCTGCCATATTCATAACATGCTGTCTTTTTCTTTTCGTCCTTTGGTTTACCTTTACCTATATTTGGCTGGTCTTTTCCTTGGTATAGGTTCACTCCCGGATTCTTAATCACATCCATGTGAATCTTCAAGATATCTTGTGCTTTGCTGACCGTCTTTGGATAATAATCCACTTCCCTGTAGTAGTTTGTCTGAAGATCCAGCATCAGAGGAGCTGTTCTCGTTTGATCGCATTTGCACAGGAATTCTGTTGCAAGAACGGCTTCAAAGATATCATCCTTGAACTTATCTTTAGCAGCAGTATTGGTGCTAGTAATAGCAGCATACGACTTGGTCTTGACTGCAAAATTTTGGAACCAGGCATTGCCATATAGATCTTGCAGGACTTCAGCCTGTCTCAAGAATTGTTCCTTGAAATGCATCAAGTTTTCTGTGGTTCCTTGCTTCATAGCAAAGAACTTTTGGTTGGCTTCCCAGAAATTCAAGAAGTCATACTCACCATCGGCACTCTTCTTCATGAATCGTATAATATGTTTCAAGAGTTCCATCGGATCTTCAAGAGTAGTTGTGAAATTGGCTTAGGCTCAAAGCTTGATATCCATCTCTTTCGTCACAAACTTAAGCATGATGTTTGACTTAACAGTTTGCTTGTTTGTTTCGAAACACGCTGCTCTGTTCATATGATTGGTTAGTTTTGCAGAATAGAGAATCTTGTTTTGAGTCATCTCTGTTAGTCTTGCAACAACTTCCGTTTGAACTGGAGCATCCAACTTTGGTGCGATTGAATCAAATAAAGGTCACCGTGCTATTAGATACACACGCATAGTCTGTATGCAGTAATGTACAGAATAGGTGATGGACCACACACATCATCACAACTTTCTAGATTTCCTTTTACAAACGTCTATCAACTTTCCTTTACTTTTATCATCCTCCTAGTAAGTCTATCGCTACACAACATATTTTACATTGTTTATCACGACCCAATAGCTATGAAAGCAAAAGCTATTCATTGAAATGCATTCAAATGAACGAATTATGAATACGAATACTGCAATATTTTTTCATATGTGCAAAGCCGATTTCAATCGTGTCAATGGTGCTACATCACCGGTTTTGACCATGTAAAACTGTCAAAGGTGTAACGAATGCAACACCAATACGAACGAACTAACTAAGGAATCACTTTTATAGGCAAAATGGCCGCTGCAATTCCTGTTTTTACGATCTATGATGCCATGATTTTATGTCAAATCCCTGACACTGGGAATTTCCAAGAACTGACGCTCAACGTATGGCAGAAGAGCTCTTTGACAACGATTTTGGCACTGCCATGACCAAGTCAATCAAGCAGGTCAACATGGACCTTGCAATGCTTGCATCCTTGACCGCTGTGCAAGGACGAATTGTGTCAAGACCAAGGGCTCAAGACCAAATCAGAGCATTTGTACAGTGGGTTCGCGATGAAATTCGGATGGGCAGGAACCCTGCACAACACCCTTTCCCAGCTGGAGATACATCTACTCTGCTGCAGCGATTGAACTTCCATCAAAAGTATGATGTCAAAGATTCTAAAACTTTAATTGACAATACGGTTCCACCCAAGTGGAGCAAAGAACAACAATGGAAGCAATGGGTCAAGCTGCTCCGTGACCACCTCCGCGCATATATCGGTGTCAATGGCATCCCTCTTGTTTATGTGGTCCGCGAGAATGCAGCTCAAGACCCAACACCACAAGACGATTTTCTTGACGAATACATCAATATGGCTCTACTTGTTGGAACCGCCTTTATTGTGGATAACAAACAAGTGTTGGCTCTACTGAACAAATTTATCATGGGTTGTTCTGAAGCTGAAATGGTGATACAAGCGCTCAATACTACTACTGATGGTAGAGCTGCTTTCTTCGCATTGAAGGCATTTTATGAAGGTGAAGGCATTTTCGCTCATGATGTCATGGCAGCGGAAAACATCATTGCAACACTTTTCTATGCAGGAGAAAAACGTCCAGCTATGTACTGGCAGAAATTTGAACAAATATTAAATAATGCCTATGCAACCATGCATCACGAATATGGACGTGTAATGTATACTGATGTTATGAAGCTACGATCCCTCCAACAAAGAATCAAAGCTGACTTCCTGTCACAGACGAAAGCGGCAATTGAAACTAACATGGATGCTATTCCTATGACTATGACATATGATCATCGCAATCGGAACAAAAATAACCAAGACAATGCTAGTACCAACGAAAATACAAGAAATATAGCCGCACTGACTTCTCTGATTGGAGATTTGACCGGCCGTTTGACTGTACCAACCAAAATCACACAAGATACTGCTGCTACTCAAATCTCCCATGTCACTACTGGCACCAACAGGCGCTCCATTATTGGAGGACGTCTACAACAAGCCCAACAGCACCAAAATGGAGGAAGTGGGAGTAATATCTGACTACTACCTGTCAGCCGCAGCATCAGCCAAGTTTCGCAAATCGTTCATGTCATCTCCAAATACTCAGCAACGCAAAGACTTGGTGTCCAAGAACCTGTGGCTGGCACTTACGCCGACAATGAAATGGACACAAACGCTGACACTTGTTGCTTGAGCAGCAATTTCATCATTACT